ACTCGTCCCCACGCAGCTCCTCCGGGAGGTGCCGGTTCAGTGCGCGTCTGCCCCGGGGACACGGGCGGGAGCCTGTCCCCACTCCGCCACAGCTGGGAGGCCGGCGACGCCCCATCCGCTGCCCCGCCCACCCCGCCCAGGCCCGCTCCCCGCACCCCAGGCGGGAGAGCCGGGGTAGAGGTGAGACGAGGGGGGTAGCGGCGCGGGGAGCCCGCACAGGCCCAGGCACCGTCCCCACCATTTCGGGGTCTCAGGGACCAGACGTGCGGGGACTCGTTCGCCCCTTTGCAGACGCAGCGGCTCGGAGCTCCGATGTTCCGCAGACGGGGCACCGAGGGGAGCTTGAGCCCCCTCCAAACCCCCATCAGCTGTCCCCACCGCACGACCGCCGGGCCGGGCGGGGACGCCCCGCAAAGCGCCGCTGGACACCAGCCAACGCCCACCCCCACCCGATCGCGACCCTCCGGAGACGTCCCGGCCACAGACTGCCCTCCGAGGCCGCGGGGCCCCACTCCCGCCCCGGCCGCGGCATCGCTGTGACCCTTCGTCAGGGTCTTCCCCGCTCTGAACCTGCTCTCCGCGTCCAGACGAAGGACACCCGGGCACAGACGGGGCGCACACACGCGGGCTGAAACTTTATTTGCCCTCCCGCGCCCGGGACCCCGGACCCCGGACCCCCGACCCCCGACCCCGCCGCCCGCCCGGAGGCTCAGAAGATCTTCACCGACTGCAGCTGCAGGTCCCCGCCCACCTCCAGGAGGCGCACGCGCGCCGGCGGGATCCGGTAGCGGAAGTGGTGGTACTCCGAGTCGCCGACCACCGCCTGCGGGGCCGAGGGGGGCGGGGCGTCAGGGGCCGCGGGGCCCCGGGTCCCCGGGCGCGAGATGGGCCCCGACGGCCGTACCTCTTGTCGTGGTCCTCACCTGGGCCACCTGTCTGGCGCGGACGCGCGCTTAAGGCGGTGGCTGTTACGGCCCCGCCGGCGGAACGCGGGGAAGGGCCTGGGTGCTGGACGCTGTGCAGCGACCACTCCCCGCGGACACGCGCGTCCCGGCCCAGTCGCCCAGCCATCCTGGCCCCTGCTCCGGGACACCAGGGCCCCGCTTCCCGCTAGGGGCCACCCACCCTCTGGGCGCTGGGCTCTGGCCGCCCGGTCCCGGCCACGGCCACACCCCTGCCTTCGGGCACACGTGGGGTTGCGCCAGGGGAAGAAGAGGGACGGACCGGACGTGGGCCCCGCCTTGGCCGGGCCTTTGCTCCCCACCTCCACCAAGAGCCTTCCTGGCTTGCCTGGACTGCAGGCGGGGCGGGGGTCTGGACGCCCGCGCCTGTGGGTGGCAGGGACTCACCTTGAACCCTTCTTCGGTGGCGATGAGGAGCACGTCGAAGGGCTGCCCATGCTGGAAGGGAATGCCTGAGCCGCGCTCCTCCCGGCCCCAGGTGCCCTGCTCCAGGCTGTTGAAGACCACCGTGGACTCGTCCAGCCGCGGGTTGAAATGGAGGGCAGCCTCCCCGCCCGGCCCCTCGCCGCACAGCAGGTTCACATAGAACCTGGTAGTGGGGGCAGGGAGGAGAGGATAAAGGTCACAGGCCAAGAAGCACCCTACCAAGATCAGGGACCAATGGTCAGGACTCCCCACCGCCAGGCCGTTCCAATTCATAGGCACCGGAGGAACGTCCCACGCCACAGGGGGAAGGGTTGTGGGCTGGTGGCCAGGGACCCACCCTCCAGGGCGTCCAAAAGTTCCAGGGACCCTGGACCCGCGTGCACCTACGAGGGTCCCTATGCTGTGGCCCCGGGTGCCCCTCATATCCAAAGCCTCTAACGTTTGCCGTGGAGTCACGATGCCGATGGCCGGGGTGCTCTCTGTTCCTAGGGCATCCCCCTTGCCAGAGGGCTGGGCACAGCACCACGGGCCCGCACGTTTGCAGGCACCGCAGATTCCCAGGAAGCCTGCCCCTCCCAGACCCGGAAGTCCTACGACCGACCGCTTCGGCCTCCCAGGTGCCCAGGGCACCTCCAGGTCGCGGGACTTCTTTCCAGGGTTCCTGGCATTCAGACTGGGAGCCATAGGACTCTAGATGGGAGCCCTGGGATGGCTCTGGAAGCCCCAGATCCCTAGGGAGACGTAGGGACCCCAGCTACACAGTCACGGGACAAGTAAGTGAAGACTTCAGATTCCAGAAGGTCGGCGATGGCCCGGGGAGTCTAAGACCCTGTGGGCCAAGGTGGCTCTGGTGCCCTCGTGTCTGGGCTGCAAGAAGTCCGAGCCAGCTGAGCCTGGACACCTCCCAGCCTTACCTCTGGGGCCTGGGGTCTCACCTGGCGGCCTTTTCCGGGACGACGCCGCGAATCCTCATCACGGTGCCCACCCGGATGCCCTCGGGCAGCGACGTCTTGTGGGGCACGTTCTGCAGGTTCAGCGGCGGGGAGTCCGAGGGAACCGGGGGCGCGGACGAGAGACACACGTGGGTCGGCCCCGGGCAGAAAGCATCCGGGACCCAGATCGGCAGAATCCGTGAGAAGAAAAGGCCCAGAGACCAAGGAGAGAGAGCCAGAGCCATACCAAGAGTGGGAGAGCCAACCACGAGGGATCAACGGAGAAAGGGAGAATCCAGAGAGGCAGATGGGAGCATGGGGATGGGTTGGGTCCACCCGGGAGCCACAGCCCAGACCCTTGGTAGCACACCCCGGCACCCACTTTGTCCTTCCCGGCGGGACACCTCAGCCAGGCCCAGCCCCTCCCCGAGTCCTGTGCCGCCTTGGGCCCAAGCCCCCCGGGCCCCGACGCCCCCCGAAGGCACTCACAGAGCTTCCCGCCATGGCTGGGACGCTGGGGCGACAGGCGTGGCGGTGGGTATGGCTGCTGGGACCTTAAGTAGAAGCAGAAGCAGGGCGTGGCGGCCCCGCTGACTCACCCCCAGCCATTTCCACACCCGCAGCCCACACCTGGCACAGACCCTGGCCCTGGGGCCACCCGGCGGCCCAGCGCCTTCTTGCTGAGGGTTCCCAGTCCACCGCCCGCCCCCTCCGTTGAGCTAAGAATCCTGAAGACAGTTAAGGGCGAACCGCCAAGGACAGAGGGCACCCAGGGGGCCGCCATCCATCCCGGCCATGTCCCTGCCGCTTGGCCCAGGAGAAAGGGTCTTTGCCCATTTTCTCTTGGACATCTGGGGCCCCGAGAGGCCCACCCGGGGCTGGAAGCGGGGGCCCCTCTCTCCCAGGCTGGGACCTGCGCCTTGGGCTGAGGACGCGTCCACCGAAATTCCAGCTCACGCTCCCTCGCGTGACGGTGACCCCGGCGAGGACAACACTGTGCCCGCGGGGCTCCGGGGGGCAGGACGTGTGCCTGATGAGCCGCGTCTCCCGGGGCCTAGAGCAGCGGCTGGTACACGGTCTGGGCTCCTCAAGTGCGCCTGAAAGACGAATAAGGAATGACACCAGCGCCTGGTCTGAGGCCCTGGGCGCCTGGCGCACACGGGACCTCCCCGAGCGCTCACCGCTAGCCGAGCGGGGAAGGGGATCACTCGCCCCCACTTCACAGACCAGGAAACCGAGGCTCAGACACGGGAGGCCGCTTGCCCGGAGGCGCACGGCCGGGCAATCCCTGGGTGAGTGTCTCTCTGCCCTTCTTCAACTCTGGCGGGTTCCGCCTTGTTTCTTCTGTCCCTGGGAATGCCCTGGTGTCTCTCCCTGGCCCTCTGGCTCGGACTCTCTCTCCCTCCCGGGTGGCCCTGTCTGCTTCTCTTCCTCAACGCCATGTCTCCTTCCTCCCCCCAGAATGGCTGCCGCTCTCCCAGCCAGGTTCGGGTGAGGGGAGGCAGAGGGGGGCCTTCCTGGGACCCAGCCGCGCCCTGACCCAGGAGCAGCGACGTGGGATCCTCCACTCAGGCCCACAGCCCAAGATTCCATAGTCCAAGATTCCAGAAGAAGAATCCAGGATGGGAAGGGTGGGGTCAGAGGGAGAATGCTGAAAGAAGGTTCTGGAAGGTAGGGAAGAGGCAGGGTGGGGCAGCCACCCTGAGCAGAACCCCCTCCCAGCAGCCCAGCAGGCCTCCTGTCCACCCCCACCACCCCCTCCCAGCCTCCACTCCTGCCCCCCACCCCCCACCCTCCAGGGGGAAGAGGCCTGGGGCAGAGACCAGAATGGAAACTCTGGGTGGAGACAACCAGACTCAGAACCTGATCTGCCACCTGACTGTCCCCCAGGCCTCCCAGACTCTCTCCATCCCCACACCACGTGAGGCACCCCGGGGGTGGCAGGGGGTGGCAGTTTGGGGGCCAGGACCTCACACAGGGAGGCCGGACAGCTGCGAGGCGGGTGGGGGTGGCTGCAAGCACCCCAGTGTTCAGAGGAGAAGAGGGAGGCAGAGAGTGGGGCACCCTCTCAGCCAAGGTCCCACAGTAGGGAAGCAGCCCGGGGCTGGGCCGGCGGGGGGGGCGGGGGGGGGGCCCAGGTGGGGGCAGGGCCGGTCACCAGGACTTCCGGTAGAGAGGACAGGGGGCCCGAGGCCGAGGCCGGGGCACCCACACCCGGGAGCCGGCGTCCCCGAATCGAATCGTGGGCTCCACCTGTCTCGGATCTCAGGTTCGGGGTGTCCCCCTCGGCCGCCTCGCTCTCCACGTGCTCTTTCTTGGGGCCCAATGACTAGTCCTTCCCCAGATGTCTTCTTTGGGGCTGGATGTGTCTTCACACGCTGCCAACCTGCAAGTCCAAACTCGACTGTGACTTTGCTGTGGGCCCAAGTGTCAGCAGTCGATCTGTTATCAGTTGATGGCGGGCTCGTTTCTCAGAAGCCAGGCGCGCGCGCACGTGCCGGAGCCCCATTCTCTGGTGTGGATCATGTCTGCATCGGTTCTGGAATAATACTTTCAGGAGCACTGTTTCCATTCCCAGTGAGTCGTGACCGTGCCTGGGTCTCAGTCCTCGTGCTTTTTCCTGAGCGATGCCTCGCGTTCCGAAGCCGCGCAGGTTGTAACAGAATGAGGGTGTGGGATTCGAGAAACGTCCGGACCTGAGCAACCCCCACCCCCACCGAGTTTCCCCGAGCCCCAGAGACAGCCAGCCCCCCTCCGCCCGCCCGGGACAGCGCTGCCAGTCTGGGCGTCCCGTGGCCACCGTGTCATGTGTCCCGGGAGTGGAGAGGGGTGGCCAACAGGCTGAGTCGGCGGCAGACCTTCGCCCTCCTGCAGGGAACAACTCTGGTGACTGAAAAGTAACCCCGTGTACCCACCGTGCTTGTGGGCATTGAAACCCCCAGGCTCTCTGCCAGGGTCAGCGTGTTGGGGACTTTGGGCCGGTTTTGTACACGCTGAACATCAGTCCGGGGGCCGCTTTGGTTTTATGTTGTTTTGTGGGAAGATTTTGGTTTTGAAGTGATCTCCGCGCCCGGCGTGGGGCTGGCACTCCCCACCCAGAGGTCCGGGGTCCCAAGCTTCACGGAGCCAGCCAGGCGCCCCGCGGGGCTGCTTTGGTTTTGTGAGTGAGCCTTCCAAGGAGGAGAAAGACACTGTTCAAATCTGACTCTTTCTTAAGCGGTGAATCCACTGGAAACTTACACTTCTATTTCTGGATAGAATACATTTCCCCAACCCCATCACCGCGGAGGGAAGCATTTTCTGTCATGCTTGCTTCCATTGATAAACTGAGGTCGTTAAACTCTCTTACGTATTTTCAGCCACATGTGGGATTTACCGTGTTTTTTGTTTTGAAGTTTATTTATTTTGAGAGATGGAGAAAGAGAGAGGGAGGCATGGAGAGAAAGAGGAACACAGAGGATCCCAAGCACTGTCCGTGAGGAGCTGGGTGTGGGGCTGGAACCCATGAACCTTGAGATCGTGACCTGAGCTGAAATCCAGAGTTGGGTGCTTAACCGACTGAGCCGGCCAGGTGCCCCCCACCATGTATTAAATTTGAAGTGTTTCCCATCGTCCACTCAGTTCTTCCAAGTAATAAGGGATCGTGGTCCGTTTCCACGCCTGAGGTGGGAGTCCAGTGACCTGTTCTTTCCACCTTTCCTTCTTTCCTCCCCTCCCTCCCTTCACCTCCCCTCCCCCCCCCTCCCCTCCCTTCCCTTTGCTCTCCTTCCTTGGCTGAAGGATTGGGCCATCAGGTGGGGAGACAGGTGCTGCCTCTTGGTGGGGGGAGGGACGGGGCAGGTTAGCAGCTGGCCGAGGGGCGGGGACGCTGTTCAGCTGTCGTGTCAGAGGGAGTGAGTGAGGAGGGCGCTCAGAAGGGGGTGGTCCTCAGGACCTAGGGTGGAGGTGAGGGGAGAGGGGCGGCTGGACCTTGGGAACCCAGCCCCAGCAGGGGAGTCGGAGGTGTCTGTGCTGGGGAGGAAAGGGTCCCTGCGGGAGTGACTGCAGGGTGGGTTTCCACCACGGAAGGCGAGTCTCTTCTGTGACATTCAGAGGGAAGAGTTCTAGTGTGGAAAGGGGAAAATGACCATGAACCTGACTGGTGGTATTTCATGAGGGGTTTTGGAGGGTGGGGGGGTGGGGGGTTTGCGTCTCCTTAAAATTTTTTTTATTACGTTAAAATATAAAAATATGGGTGACTCAGTCGGTTGAGCGTCAGACACTTGGTTTCTGCTCAGGTCATATCTAGGGTCATGGGATCGAGCCTCGGTGCTGAGCACGGAGCCCGCTTGAGATGTTCTCTGTCTCTCCCTCTGCCCTCTCCCCTGCTTGTGCGCTCTCTCTAAAGTAAATAAAATAAAATATATACATGTGGTGTCTAAATGGGTTGTCTCTCGATCAGATGGGGGTCCCCAAACCTGGGTGAGGATCACATGGAAGCCAGTGGCATGGAGGTGAAAGGATTCACCTGAAGCAGAACAAAGGCGACAGAAGTTTATTGAATAGGCCCCAAGGGAGCAGCGGTCAGGACAGCAGGGGAGAGGCTGTCTGCAAGGAGGCAGTGGGCAGGGGGGGGGGGGGGGGGGGGGTTTTAAAGCGAGAAGGTGAGGAGGTGTGGGGACGTGTGAATTTTCCTTTTAATTAAAAAAATTGTTTTATGTTTATATTTTGAGAGAGAGAGAGAGAGAGAGAGAGAGAGAGAACACGCGTGTGCTTGCACATTAGCACGGAGGGGCAGAGAAAGAGGGAGACACAGAATCCCAAGCAGGCTCCAGGCTCTGAGCTGCCAGCACAGAGCCCTATGCAGGGCTCGAACCCACAAACGAACGGTGAGATCGTGACCTGAGCCCAAACCAAGAGTCGGGCGCTGAACCCCCCTCCCGCCCATGCCGGGCGCCCCACCATGTTAACCATTTTTCCCGTGTCCAGTTCAGTGGCACAAAATACATTCACACTGTTGTGTAGCCGCCCCCACCATCCGTCTCCAGAACTCTCTTCATCTTGCAAACCTGTAACTGGACCCGCTAAACACTAACTGCCCGGCTCCCCGGCCCCCGCCCCCCACTCCACCCCCCCTCCTACTTTGTGTCTCTATGAATTTGACCAGGGGCCAGGTAGGAATGCAGCCTTTGCCCGTCTGTGACTGGTGAGTATTCTACACCCAAAGCGAAAGAAATAACGGATGTAGAAACGTGTTTGTTGAAGGGTGCGAAACGTGCCACCCCCAAATATGCCCTTTTAGCATAAGGATTATTTTGAACTAATAGCCCTTGCGAAACAGCGGAAGAAGGGCTTTCTACCCTCCCGTTTGCTGCCTGAAAACAGGAGATAAAAACTCTCACGTGACAGATACCTACCCTGTGCCAGTAGGAGAGTGACATTCTCATCCTAAGTTGAGACCCAGAGAATTCGATGCAAACAGGCCCTGTGAAAGTGATTCCAAGCGTCCCGCATAACGGCTGGGTTACTTCTCCACAGTTGCCTCTGTCCTTCAACTTAATATAAAAGCACGTGCGCTCAGCCATCCCCTCGAGGCTTCATTTCCTGCTGAGGGCTCTAGTGTGACGTAAAACTTAGGTAACCTGTCCGCCTGATACATCCGTTCAGGTCTCGGGCCCAGCGGGAACACTCCTTGGAGGGCAGAGGTCCCGTGTTTCCTCCCCTCCGATGGATAGATACGTGTCTGCGTTCATACATCCCCTACCTTGTCCCCCTGACAAGGCCTGGGAGCGGAGCCCGTGCCCAGATCTTGGTTCCTAAGGACTGCACCTTTCTCTGCGAAAGAAATGTGTAGAAAAGGCTGTCTCCAAGGCTCAAATGGGAAGGCATGAGATGTGCCAGGCATGAAGTTTTGGGGTGACGGGGGCTCGTGGGGTCCCGAGCCGACAGCCAAGAAAGAATTCTCGAAGAGGTCTTTGGTGCAAAAAGGTGATTTTATTAAAGCACGGGGACAGGACCTGTGGGCCGCTGCAGATGTGGGGGGGGGGACTGTTTTACGGGGTGGGGGGCGGGTAGATAAAGTCAAGAGAGTTTCCAAAGAGGCTTTCACATGCTTACAGTCTTACTGGAGGCCTACCTATTGTCAATCTAAGGCTGTTTTTCCCTCTAGCAAAGCATTAACATTAAGACAGTAGGAAGTTCAGGGTCCCCTGGGTGGCTCAGTTGGTTAAGCAGCCAGGCTCAAGTCGTGATCTCCGTTCGTGGGTTCAAGCCCTGCGATGGGCTCTATGCTGACAGCTTAGAGCCTGGAGCCTGCTTTGGATTCTGTGTCTTCCCCCCCCCTCAAAAATAAACATTAAAAAAACAAAAAAAGACTGTAAGGAGTTCCTGGACTTTAGGCAGAATGGGATTGCCTGTTTCTTATAAACTGGTGGAGACTCTTCCCAGTTTAGCCATTTGTTTGTCCTTTCCTGTTTTTGGGTAGTGGAGAATGTGCAAGGAATATCACACATATCCCCCCTCCGGGGTGGGGGGTGCTGTTAACCGGCACCTTGCCCTCAGCTTGCCCCACACCCCCTCATCGCCTGGAACAGCTTCCTGGGTCGGGAAAGGAGGAAGCGTTCGCGGCACTGGGGTTCCTTGGACAGCCCCATGAGTCCATGGGCCCATACTGATGTGGTCTTACTCTGTCGGGGCTGCTATAACAAAAATCCCACCCACCGGCAGCTTACAAACATCAGGAATTTATTTGTCGTGGTTCTGGAGGCTGGGAAGTCCACGATCACGGCGCCAGCACATCGGGTGTCCGGTGTGAACCTGATTCCTGGTTCATAGATGGATCCTTCTTGCTCTGTCCTCCCATGGCTGCAGGGACAAAGGAGCTCTCTGGGGTCCCTTTAGAAGAACACCAACCCCTACTCACCAGGGCTCGGCCTCCGTGACCTCATGTTCTCCCAAAGGCCCCATCTCCAAATACCATTCCCCTGGGGACGCGGTTTCACCAAGGGAATCGGGGGGCCATAAACATTCAGCCTATAGCAGATGTGCAGGAGGAAATGATAGAAATGATCAAAGTTTGCTGAAGAACGTGAGCTTTGCAACATTTCCAGGCGCTTCCCACAAAATGCTTACTGATGACAAAGGACAAATGGGTAACTTTACGGTGGGGAGGGCAAGCCGGGGAGGTTCCGCTAGTCACGTGATCCAAGACCACTCACCAGCGATGAGCGATGGCACACGCAAGGGGCCAGGCAGCTGGAGGAGGCAGGCGCTGTTGCTTCTGTGGCTCTTCAGCCCACAGTGCCTAACCTGTAGCTGGCGATGAGGGGACATCCGCCTCCAAGCTTCTCAAGTGTCAAGGTCTTGAAACACAAAGGAAGACTGAGGAGCCATTTCAAACTGAAGGCCAAGGAGAGGAGTGGAGGGAAAGAGAGGGAAAGGGAGAGGAGGGGAAGG